TAAACCTCATGTCCTCTAAGCACACCATCCGAGCCAGACATGCAATACTAGAAATTTACTTGTCAATAGTAACTCGAAACTCCGACAATACAAGATGCCCAGTTTGCCTGCATATGGATGAAGATGGAGGCCACTGTTACCGCTGGAGAGAACTGCAGTTAGAAGGGGTTCGAAGTATGCTGCTGAACGTGCAATCATCAAAAGAGTTTATCTGCTGCATCCTTGGGTTGGAGTCTCATCAATGCTTACGTGTGTGTGCATCTTATTGTGGAAATGGTAGGATGCTAGAAACAAAGCCAATGCTGGAGAACGGACTCCGTCTTGCTCGGAAGTGGTGTGCTGTGTAAATTCAATGCTTACGGAGTTAGGGAGATCACTGAAGGAGCATGTCTACCGGCTCGATCACCCTGACCTCATCGTACGTGGACTCCACCTGACACTGACTTTCCTGAAAATCGATTTCGATGGAAGTTTCAGACAGGAGAACAAGGCCGGAGCCTGTGGCTTCATCGTGTTGATCGGCGGAAGGGATGCTCAGTTGGATAAAGTGACATGGATTGTTGTTCTAGGCTTTAGCCTCCGAACACCAGGTTGCTGCTCAACTAGCCGAAAATGTAGAGACGAACGAAAGGAACGGGGAAAATGTGGAACGATGGATATCAATAATCGAAAGAATTAGGGTTTCATTTCCCTCCTCGTCATCTGTATCATTTACAAAGACAGAAATACCCCTCCAACTACCTAGATCCCAGAGCATATTCTGAATCCTTGGGGGCGTGGGGCTTCCTTGGTTCCCCGCTCCCCCCATAAACACCTTCCTTATCTAGTCCCCCCCCTTCCCCGCTCTACAGCTAACGCAAGGGAGGACCCCGCCAAAGGAGCCGCGCTGCCTCCATCCTTTCGGCCGCTTCCGTCCTTTCGAAACACACCCGCTTGTACCACAAACGGTTGTCCTCTATTTACAACCGTATTCCTTTCGTACTATTAATATGTTTGTGGTAATGTCAAGACTTAAGTATTAGAAACACACCCGTTTGTACAATAATTTGGAAGTTATTATGACTGAAAATCATAATGGTTCACAGCAGTTGTTGCAGAAAAGATATAGTACCTAATGTAATCAACCTTCCAGAAGGATTCATTAGAAAACAATGATTGTTTCTTATTCTTCTAATGATAGGAAAAAAATTGTGATGAAATAACAAAAAAAATCCCATTGTGGTCATTCTGATACTGTAGAGGTAAAAACAGCCGCTCTACTTTCTAGTAAAGTAAACATGACAAAACCTCAATAGTAAAGTAAACATCACAAAACCTCAACTAGTTGGCCCTAACTATACATAAACACTGACTTTTGGGTTATGGTTTGTTTTACTTAGTAACTATTTGGACCTATATAGTAACACAAATTTATAACTCTACTTTATGAAAATAGTACTGCCTCGGTCAAAAAAAGAATGCAGTTTTAGATCTGCTCTAAGTCAAACTATTTTAAATTTGACTAGGTTTACAAAAAAAAAATATAAACAATTATGATTCCAAATAGTTATAGTAAGAAAATATATTGTATAATAAATTTAATGGTACTTATTTAATATTATGAATATAATTAATTAGTAATTTAAAAAAACGTCAAAATAAAGATGGTATGGCTAAACACTCTAGCTAGAGGCCTAGAGTTGTACTCTTTCCGAGATGGAGCTGGGCGTAGTTGATATCAAAAGGAACTAACATGAAACCCCACATATTTGCTTGAAAGACCAGAATATTAAATTGGCTGCAGTACGAGTACCAGAACTTCATCTCTGTTTCTCTAGCAGCACGTCTGAATAAAATCCAATTTGTGTATGCTTACTACTAGACATCTTTAATTGAAGAACTGAACTGTGCATTGTGTTGTAAATAGACGACAGCCGTTCGTTCAAAAATAAATAGAGGACCGTACACAAATAACCACCATAGATTGATATATCAAACGTTCATGATCGGTGAGGCTGAGACCTTGCAAACATCACATGAATCAACAAAAGCACGTCTCGTATGCGATATGTACTGCTCATTGAGTCATACTCCATAGTTGCTAATAAGTGTCCCGTTCGCTTGGTTGATAAGCCTTGGTTGATAAGCCATGGCTGAAAGTACCGTTGGCTGATTTGTTGTGGGAGAAAAATAATGTTTGTTGGCTAAAAAAGTACGGCATATAAGCCAAACGAACAGGACGAAGATAGACAGAGACACAAATAAAGATAGATAGTCTGTAATCACCCCAACTGGGTAGATAGACTACATAGAAACCTCCACATCTGGCTTCTGTTCCTTGTTTTTGTGGAGGAAGTTATCATCTTGGTCACTCGACTCACTCCTGGGCGAACATAGTATCATCCAGACCGAGCTCAGAGAACATCGCTGCCCACGTTTCCTTGAAATGCTGCTCCAATTCGAGCCTCTCGGCGATCATGTCGTCGTCCACCGCAACGAACCCCTTCTCCGCGTACTCCCGGCGCACCCTTTCCTGCACCTCGTATAAGGCGTCCTCCGCGTACTCGTGCTCCGCGGCCTCGCGCTTGAAAGGACCTAGGATGCCGCCTAGAGGGGGGTGAATAGGCGTTTCTGAAAATTAACACCTTTAAATACGGAAACGATTAGTAAAGAGAGTTTCCAAAATGAAAACTCTAAATAAAGAGTAGTACCATCCCTCACAAGTTAGCCACAGAGTATATAAAAGATACTAAATGATTCTAGGAGCCAAACGCCTGCAACCAAAGAGTTAGAACATAATACAATTCAGTTTGGCGCAGGGGCTAATACCGGACGTGTCCGGTAGGTATACTGGACGTGTCCGGTATTCACGACTTCAGTGGAACAGCCCCGAACTTGCTCCTTTTGATTTCTATCTTCAATCCAAACTGCAGGAAACTATTAGAGATTGTAATATACACAGAGAACCTGCAGAATAGCTAGAGCAACACAAATATCAAATGAAATGCGAATTGAGACACAATATTTGTTTTACCGAAGTTCGGACTCGTTCGAGTCCTACTCTCCGTTGAGGGGGCTGTGGGTGACCCAACGAAGGTCAGCCCTAGAGGGTACCACGAAGGTCACTCTAGCCGGAGTCTTTTCCAACTCCTTTTCCTCCTTCCACTAAATGATTCCGAGGCGACGGAATCGACCGTTACAAACTTTCTGAAGCAACCACAATCTCTCGGTTGCTCTCCGGCGACGCCTAGCCGTCTAGGACCGAAGAGTCCAAGAGTAACAAATGCGAATCACGAGATTGACAATATGCACAAGTGCTCAAGTGGTGGCTTGCTCTCTTTTTCAAATTCTCTCTTAACCCATAAATTGATTTTGTAATTTAGATCACACACTCACTAAGAGAGGGTTTAGGAGAGTTGGCAAGACTCAAAAACGTGTGTCTATCTCAGCAGAATCAGTAGCCTCCAAAGGTGGAGGCTTGGGGGTATTTATAGCCCACTTGAAAAACTAGCCGTTGCAATACCGGACACGTCCGGTATGTATACCGGACACGTCCGGTATGACTTACACTGTCCCAACGGTAACTAAGTTACAGTGAAGTTGTGAGGCGTCAGAACTCCCGATGAATGCCGGAACTCCCGACATCCGGAACTCCTGACTCACGTCGGAACTCCCGACCCTCAGCAAATTAGAAAACCATGTAACTGAGTTAAAGAATATGAGGTGTCGGAAGTCCCGACACATGCCGGAACTTCCGACCGTCGGAACTCCCGACTCACGTCGGAACTCCCGACCCTCAAGGCTTTGGAAAACTAGCCGTTGGCCTCTGGTCGTCCATATCGGACACATCCGGTATGAATACCGGACACGTCCGGTATGACCAGGACAGTGAACCCTCCAAGACAGTTAAAGTGAGAGACGTCGGAACTCCCGACCCTTGCCGGAACTCCCGACCGTCGGAACTCCCGACCTACGTCGGAACTCCCAACAAACCAACCCGAGAACAAACAATTTTACAACTGCTGGGTAAATACCGGACACGTCCGGTATTGCCAGACCAGCAAAAATAAAGTTAGCTCTTTTGTCGCTCAAACACTCAAATCTCACATGGGTTGGCTTGAGCACTTATGAAACATTATCTATCAATATGATGCATCCCTCTTAATAGTACGGCATACCTATTAAACTCAAGATCAAAGGAAAAATGAATTTATACCACTTGAGTTGATCTCTTTTTGAATTGATGCCGTCTCTTTCAATCTTCATCAAGTAAGGGTGCTAACATGTTGATATTGATCTTTTCACTTGAGCATAGCCATCTTGAGCACGTGACTTGATTCCATTCATCAAATTTGAATAATCCCAAATGTATCAAGTCACTTCCATCAAACAATCCAATAGTGATTTGATCCTCTACATAAACGTGGCCATCATAGCTTGATTAGTACCTCAACTAAATGCAAGTACTTTCTTCTTCACCCTAGCTAGGTTCTTCGGCTGCCAAGCCGTCGCTTGCCCTTCACCCTTGCTTAGTACCTCGAAGCCTTTCCTTGCTATCTTCACCATCTCAAGCCATCAAGTCACATCTTGTGTTGAATCATTCATTCATGTATTGTTATCTTTTTCATTTCAATTTTAGCAAGCTTCAAATTTGAGACCATTCCATATGCAAACCTTTATGTCTCATTAATTAATTCTCACAAGCTTGCTTTTACATAGTACATGGAAATCCCACAATAAACAAGCCTTTGCATGAATTCCATTTGCATTGTTGTTTTGTGCTTGAACTAGATTGTTTATACAACAACACATTATTTTGGCTTTCATTAAGTACCTGTGAGATAACATATCACCTGTCCACACTTAGCAAATGGGTTAGACCTTTAATCACGTTGTCATTCAATCATCCAAAACCCACTAAAGGGCTAGATGCACTTTCAGCGCTCAAGGTCCTCCTTGGTCGTGGAGCTATCGGCGACCATGTCCTTGTACACAAGCGTGGACTCGAAGGGCTTCCGTGGCTAAGACAGGATGTAATTGATCTTGGACTCGGATAGCCTCTTGTAGGCCACGACATATTCCGTCCAACTCATCACCATCAGACTATCGTCATCGTCGTCGACTCCATCAGGCTCCTCCACATCGGCTGCGGCCTCCGCGTCCTGTGCCACCGCACCAACATATGCCTCCTTGTCGTCCTCCTCCTCTATGGAAGAAGAGCATGTCTCCTCCGCAACCAGAACCACTGCTAGATCTGCCGCCGCTGCCTCCTCGGCGATGTTGCTCTTGGTGGTGCTGAGCATGATGATACCTGTCGGGTTCATAAACCTAGGGTCCCTCACGGACCGGCTTCCCAATAAAGGCTCGGTCCAGCGGACAACGTTGCAAACAACGAGCAACTCATGGGCCGGCCCAAGTACCTAAATGATAGGCCAGAAGAGCGATCCAATCACCGACCGGAAGGCCTGGCCAAGGAGGAACGGCGCCCGCTTCTGACTCTGGCCCGCCTCTCCGATCGAAGCGCTCGCTTCGGTCTCCAGCCCGCCTCCGGATGACCTCTTCGACCAGAAGGCCTGGCCAAAACACCACTTGCGACTCTGACCCACTTTTTTGACCGAGAATGTGGTGAACCCCTGCTCACAGCTCCGCTTCGACTGACACAATCATAGCTGACTGGGACCAACCGATCGGGGACGCCCGCTCGGTAAGGACCAAGAAACAGACATAAAAAGTAAGGCAGGGCACACAAGTCAAACCACAATACCAGGGACCGTACCCTGTACACCTGCAGAACAGTACTCTGCGACCTCCCTGGCATGACAGAACCCAAGTAGTGTTGTGGGCGCCGACATTTTCCCCTACAGTGTTGTAGGCGCCATCAACTCCCATACCAAGACAAATACGGTAAGGCTCCCCCACATGCCTCTGGGCATCAACAGTGTCGTGGGCGCCGGCATTTACCATACCAGGCGAATATGGTAAAACCCCTTGCATGCCTCTGGGTATCAATAGTTTGGCAGGCGCCGATGTCTACTATGCCGAAAGAGGACGACGCAACCTCCCACATGCATCTGACATTCACCAGTGATATCAATAGTGTTATGGGCGCCTACAATGATCTTGTACCCGACGGCATGGGCAACAAGACTTGGCACACGTACTCTCTCTCTCTTAAGGACCATCCCCTTCATCTATAAAAGGGGATGAGCTCTCTCCAACACAACTCGATTCATTCAGATCGGTCAAGTTCACTTAGCACATAGCGGAGCTCCTGTCACTCTCGGCCCCTCTAACCAGAGTCCGACCGGACCTCTTGTACCTCCCATCTTTCTCCTTCTAGTTTGTAACCCCACTGCAAACTTCGAGCACCTAGGCTTAGGAATAAAGTCACCGACCGACTCAAACTGGACGTAGGGCACGTTGCCTGAACCAGTATAAACCCTATGTCATTGAGTGCTAGGCCACCTCCGATCACAACGTACGGCAAAACTACAAATATTTACGTGTTGGTCACTTTCTGCACCGACAGTTGGCGCCCTCCATGGGGAAGATGTTGTACGTTCAACACTTTTGATCATCAGATGGCCCACTTTTCTGCCACCTTCGCCATGGTGGGCTCGAGCGATACGACTCGCTTTGGCTTACTGGAGTTTCCCGCGCTCCCACCTGTTGGGATGTGGGTTCCACCCGTCTTCAAGCCATCCCAAACCTTCCTCTTCGGAAGCCTAGACTTCGTCGCCGACCGACTCGGCGTACTACACCTCTGCGAGGAGGCACTCATTCCGGCGCCCGTCGGAGGGGCGCCCTCCATCGGCTCCCGGACGCACGACGACTTCAACGACGAGGCGCCTACGCTTCATTCCGAGCAAACTCTCTGCTCAAACCCCGCTGTGAGTAATGTACATACTGTTATTCACTCTCTATTTACTATCTCCCACCGATTATCTGGGGGACCGTTTTGTCCACACCGCAAACACTGTACGACCGGTTCCCCTATGGCCTCGCGTCCCTCGTGGACGCGTGCGCTCGGGGGCTCCAAAGGACGCTGGCGCCACCCTCTCTCACATCCGAATTCATGGGAATGACAAGTTATCCTCCCACCACTTTCTACGAACTCCTGGATGACGAGGTATAGAGCGACAGCTCCAACATCGGCGACGTGGCACCTAGCCACCGACCGTCCCGGGAGTGCTCTATGGCGGATGCTCCGGGACAGCCGCCGATAGTTGCGGAGTCTGCACAGACTCACACCCCTCTGGACCCACGTGTGGGGGCCCTCACGCTTGCGCAAGAGCACACCGAGGAGCTACGACAACGGTGGCAGAACCAGCCGCCGCCTGCGCTGGCGCGCTCGGTACAGCATGTTGCGCCCCATGCGCATGACCCGGCCGGCGGCGCTTGGGGTCGCGCCCGCCGGGTCCAGCGCGACATCATAAATGAGGTGAACGACCCCCCATAGTTCGCTCAGGCTAGCCAAAACATCGCCGCTGCGGCAATGCTTCTGCGTGGCGTTCCTGAGCCCGTCGACCCCCAGGAGCGGGCGGTCTACAGGAACCTCCGGGCGTTGGTAGAAGTCACCGCCCTCTCTCCCCATTGGGGGAGTGGGGACGCACCAGACGGATCGCTCCATCCTCTCACCGTTGTAGCCGCAAAGCACGGCTCGGGAGGCAGCGGCTGCGCCACAGTTCGACCTGGCGCCTGCCCCGCACTGACCGCCGGTACGTGAGCGGCCCGGTTCGCACCAAGACGCTCACAGCGTCATAAGCAACCGGCATCACGCCCGACATGATGATGACGTCCACCGGGCGGCGGTAAGGGTAGGCGACACGGGTCCCGGCCGAACCATCGAGGGGAGCGGTGAAACGCGCCCTAGGCATGGTCGCCGGCCAGATGACCGGAGTCCCAGCCCCGAGGGCCCAGGACCACGGGCCTTTGGCCGGCGTATCCGGAGAGCGCCGTTCCCGCAGCACTTCCGACCACCCACCAACATCGCCAAAGTACACCGGGGAGACGAACCCTGGTATATGGCTCGAAGATTTCTAGCTTGCCTATTGAGCCAGGGGGGTGGATGATGACCTTTTCATCATTCAATATCTCCCCATCTGCATAGGGGAATATGTTTGAGCATGGCTCAAATTCCTCCCGCACGATAGCATCCACGACTGGGCGGACCTCAAGAGGATCTTTGTCGGAAACTTCTAGGGGACATACGTCCATCCTGGGAACTCCTAGGACCTCAAGAGCTGCTAGCAGTAGCCCAACGAGTCCCTGTGGGATTAATCCGTAGGTTCTCCCAACCACGCAACTCCCTCCCTGATGTCGTTGACGCAGACGTCATCAGCGCTTTCCTCTCTGGGATGACCTGTGAGTCCTTGATCCACAAACTTGGCTGCCTGAAGCCCCGTACCACCCATGACCTGCTCGATGTCACCACGAACCACGCCTCTGGCGAGGAGGTGGTCGGAGCGGTCTTCATCAGAGGCCGGGATAAAGGCAAGGCCAAGCGTGAGGACAAAGATGATGGCCCCTCCACGTAGAGGGACAAGAAGAACAAAAAGGACCGGCGCTGATCGGATAACACCGCGTTGGTCGCCGCAGCTGATCGCACGGGCAAACAGCCCTAGCAGGGCCTGCCTGACCACTTCAACAAGCTCATGGATAGCCCATGCACCAACCACGCCTACCCCGTCAAACACCTCTATAAGGACTACGAGCTCCTCAAATGTTTCCTGCGACAGGCCGGCGGGCTGAAAGAAGGAGACAGCAAGGAGGCGATAGCCAAGAAAGGGGGTGCGACAGGCAAGGATGGGGACAGCTTCCCTGACCCCGAGGATCGCATCATGATCTTCGGTAGATCCGAGGCCATCTTCTCCAAGCGCTAGCACAAGGTATGCTACAGGGAGGCATACGCCGTCGAGACGGCCGTCCCCTACTTTCTTAGCTGGTCGGAATCTCCGATCACCTTCGATCAGAGAGACCACCCCTCACACGTCGTGAGACCGGGATGTTACCCGCACGTTGTCGACCCCATCGTTCGCAAGAAGTGCCTCACTAAGGTGCTGATGGACGGAGGTAGCGGCCTCAACATCCTCTACATCGACACCCTCGACGCCATGCGCATCCCCCGGAGGGAACTCCACCCAGCGGGCTCTCCCTTCCATGGGGTGATCCCAGGAGCGTAGGCATACCCGCTCGGGCAGATCGACCTGCCCGTCACATTTGGAAACCGAGCCAACTTTCGCTCGGAGGTCATCACCTTCGAAGTGGTGGACTTTTTGGGGTCCTACCACGCCATCTTGGGGTGGCCATGCTATGCCAAATTCATGGCGATCCCCAACTACGCCTACCTCAAGCTAAAGATGCTAGGACCGAATGGTGTCATCATCGTGAGCAGCGCCTTCTCGCACTCCTTCACGTGCGACCGTGAGCATTTCGAGCTCGCCACCGCGGTGGTCAACTCGTCCGAGCTTCCATGGCTCGAGGAGTCGTCGACCCCCATAGTCCCAGACTACAACAAACTAGCCTCTTCAACGGCCTTCCGTCCACTCGAGGAAACCAAGGCGGTGGGGATCAACCCCACTGACCCAACCAAGACGGTGCGGATCGGGACACAGCTCCCGACCAAATAGGAATGCGAGCTCGTCGACTTCCTGCGCGCCAATCGCGATGTCTTTGCATGGTAGCCTTCTGACATGTCGGGCATACTGCGGGAGGTCGCCAAGCACGCACTGCGCCTCATCCTAGGCTCGAAGCCCGCCAAGCAGCGCCTGCGTCGCTTCGATGACGAGAGGCACAGGGCCATAGGCGAAGAGATCACCAAACTCCTGGCAGCCGGATTCATCAGAGAGGTATTCCACTCTGACTGGCTCGCCAATCCTGTTCTTGTTAAAAAGAAGACCAAGAAATGGAGAATGTGCGTTGATTATACTGGCCTCAACAAAGCGTGTCCGAAGAATCACTTTCCTTTGCCATGCATAGACCAAATAATCGACTCCACCATGGGTTACGAGATCCTCTCCTTTCTGGATGCCTACTCGGGCTATCACCAGATCAAGATGAAAGAGTCCGATTAGCTCACAACCTCGTTCATTACCCTATATGGTTCGTACTGCCACATAACCATGCCTTTCGGCCTAAAGAATACTAGCGCCACCTACAAAAGGTGCATGCAGCAATGCTTCACCGACCAAATCGACCCACTCGATCAGCCTGATCAAGCCGAGTGGCCAAAACCAACAATTGCCGTCTATGTTGATAACATAGTGGTCAAAATGGCTCAAGCTTGCGACCTGATCACAAACTT